AGGGGGTTGTATGAGAGAGATTTGAATGACAGAAAATTATGTTTGGGATTATGATATTAGCTGATGTTTGGGATTATGATGTTATCTGATGTTTCTAAAGTATTAACAGTTACACTTTTACTTAGGTGTTAATTTACAGAGATGAATGGGAAGGAGGATGTCTGAAGATTCACTGTAGTGATCACTGGTTTCAGTAAATACAGACATATAGTGAATTAGAAGAATTACACACTTTAATTTGTGGAGCAGTACACAATGTCTGCAGACCTTTTGTCTCTCTCTCTCTCCCTGAGGGACCATCTTTCAATTCTTAGCTTCCTCAGTCTCACTTAGGGAGCATTTCTAAATTTTAACTTCTATCACTATACTCAGGCAGGCGTCCTCCAGTAAACCAGTCTGTGCTTAGCTCAAAACTGCTGCTGCCAGATTGTTTCCCATATCCAAACTAGTTCATTTAAAATGAACTTGGGCATCTTTATACTACAAGGCATTCTGCACTGCAGTCAGACCTCAGCAGTTTACATTTTCAAGGTCTTGTATGCGGCCATAAGGTAAATGAAAGGTGAGACTGAAGTTCAAGTCCAGAGCCAGGGATGAATTCACAGCAAATTCTGTGGTTGCAGAATTTCAGAGTAAACAAGGCTTTGGATATGAGTAATACCCATTCATTGGGAGTTATTCATTCTGCATTGAGAGATTTGAGTCCCTGAAGATTAACTGCAGATGGGGATATGTTTTCCAGGCATTGATTGCACATGATGAAGCCTGAGACTCAGCTTTGTGATACTGCTATACCCTTAGCTAAGGTCCTGGGCTGGAGCAAGGACTTCAGTAAAATACAGGGTCTTGGGCCTCCCCTACAACAGCAGCCAGGGAACCATGATCCCAGGTCCTGCTGGCTGTGATGCTAAATGAGGGAAGAGGACTTTTTCTTACAAAAAAACTTAAAACTTCAACTTCACATTTCTACACTGAAACAGTTTCTGCATCGGGTCTCTGCTGATGTATGGTTTGGGGTAAGTAATTTCATTTTTGTGCCCATTTCTTTATCTGTAAAAGGTATAAAGGTATTAACCTACCTATCTAACAGCTGTAGGGTTATTTCATTACTACTTGGTAAAATGCTTTGGGATCCTCATCTGAAGCACTAAGAAAAGGCTGGTTAATCTTTTCTTATTAGTGAACTGATTAACTAGAAGGGAGCTGAGAGTCTCTCCTTGACTATTAATATCTCTCACATACCCCATTCAGCAACTAATACTTCTCAAGCACTGCAGGCAAGGCTCGGCTGGAATCTTCATCTCTGCCATGTCAGCCCCTGAAATGGATTATTCTGGAGACACTGACAAGGAATAACAGGATGCGATGAAGGCAGAATAACAAATGGGACCCAGCTATGTGCATTTTAGATTTCTTAGTTCTACCGCCTTCTTGCCTGCAATGAGAGAGAGTCTCCTTTTCAGTCAAAGAGACTCATTAGTAACTGATAGCGTGTGCTAGTGACGCAGTCATATTTCCAGACTTTGTTCAAGGTGCAACTGCTTTCAAAGATAACTCAATAGTAAGCTTGAATTAGCTGTCTCTGGCTGAAACTTGCTGCATGTAGTACCATCTGGGGAACATGCAACTCAGTGAATTATTTGTGCAGTGGTTAATTCTTAATAAAAGCAGGCCTAATTCTCCAGTGACTTCCCCCCCCCCCAGTGTGTTCATTTACACAGTATAACTGGATCAGACCCCTCTTTTTATTTGCACAGCTGCTAGCATTTTACACTAACTTAGCACAGGTGTAAAAGGCTGCACAATGCAGTGGACAGGCCCACTTTGTGTTTGGCTTTTTAAAAATAATCAATTGGCAATTAACAATGAACAGGTTGTATTGACAGATGACAAACTGACAGATGGCAAGCTGTTAGGCTGCCCTAGCAAAACATAAGTGGTAATATTGTGAATGCATAAGGCTTTGGTAGATCCTCTCTTGCATATGGAATTCACTGTTGGGCATCATTCCCTAAGAAAGACGTTAGTGCCTTCAGAAGGGAATGGTAGATAGTCATTAAGTTAATGTCATCTTCATAGAATCTGAATTGTGAAGAGGCTCTGGAAGCTGGGCATATTCTCAGCAGAAAAAAAGGAGAAGGTGAGGTGGATAGCTTCAAAAAGCATCTAATAGTTCAGAGGTCAAAATCAGGATACAGGAAGGTGACAAAATTTAAAGTGTAGAGGGAATGAGGGACCCTTTTGATATAAAGAGTAAGTAGCTTATGGGGTGATTTACAGGGGAAAGTAGCTAAGGAACTGAAGTGATCTTTTCTGAGAAACAAGCTCAGAGAAGTTGGAAAGTACAATGAATTTAAACTAAATTAGGGCCACCTGTTGGGTTGGATGGATTTCTCCTGTTTCAAGCATTCTCTCCTTTCCATATTTGGGTAATTGTCTTCTCTCATGAATCTCACAGCTAGAAGAGCAAAGGCTAAGATGGATCAGGGTAAAAGCTGGTATTCTTTTCTTCACACCAGTAAAATAGGGATATACTAGTTTGGGTCTACTCCCACTGCCACAGAGGTCAGTACTAATTTTGCTCTCTCTACAGCACTTTCTCCTTCTCGTGCACCTCAGGGATACCTGTCTTCTTCATCTTGGATGTAGTTCAGAGCTGATGGATTATTTCTGGATCTTCTCTGTGGTTGCTGAATAGCTACCCAGTCAGTAGCTGTGTGGAGGAAGATCAGCAGCATTTACTGCAAAATGGCTTATGTTTACTATGCAAAAGAGAATCAGTAGAGTTGAGTCAAAACCTTTGATAGCCCCAGCAGAATGATACAAAGCTCTTTCTCTCTGCCCTTTCCACTGGAGACAGGGACCTGGCTTGTAGTTTGGAGTTCCTCATTAATCCCTCAGAGGAGGTAAGTGATCTTGCCTTGTATGTTCTAAAGATTTCATCTCGCAATTGGTAAGGATTACCCCTAAAAGTCTGTAGGCATTATAGATTATTGAGCAGTTGGCAGAGAAGAGTATCTAGTACTTTTTTTTAGCTATTTAAGAAAGGTTTTCCATGTTGCAAAGGCAACATAACCATTATGAAGATCCTTCACTAGTATCAAGGAGGGTCCTAGGACATGGCAAACAAAGGAAATTCCATCTTCTGAGACTGTATGACCTAGTAATACAGATATTTCAGAGATGGTAGTACAGTAGGTGCTTAACAGCACAATGACAAAGCTGAAAGATGAGTATTATATCCAGGCAAGACTGAAAGGGAATGTAGTAAAGTTCCTTCTTTCCCACTAGTAGAGTTCCCTAGATGTCTTCCTTTTTGCCTGTGGGCATGGCCACCAACAGCAGAGGGTACCTTGCTGATCAGCACCTGAAAGCTGCTCAGCAGAACCCGAAGAAAAGTAGGCCTGCCCTGCTAGGTATTCTCATAACATACCTGCCAAATCAGGTCTCTCTCAAAATATAGCTGAACTATTCCCCCTTATTTGTTCTCAGCCTTTTGGCTAAGATTAAGTGCTGCAGTGATCTGTTGCCCAAACTGAGATGGATTTGAATGGCATTGTGTAGTGGATGGTGCACCCCTGTCTAATACACTGAGGACAGGACACCCTATGAGTCTTGTAATTAGCTTCCCAGTGTCCAGTTTCCAGTGGGATGATCTCAGCTACATGCCTACTTTATGGAAATGAGGGACTCCTCCCTAGCTTGCTCCTGTGGCCATTGGCTAAGGGCAAGTGAAACTCGGGGGCATCCAAACCTCAAGGCCTCTGGGCTTGGGCCTGCATGTAGGATGCCCGCTAATGGATTTGGAGTATCTGAAGCTCCTGGCTGAAAAGTCTGGGGTGGAGTTGCTGGTTGTAGTGCCACATATGTTAGAATGATTGATTTTTGCTCAAGCAAGAGAATTCAGAACTGATTTGGCTAATCTGGCCTGGAATACGAAACATTTCTCCCCCCGAAGCCCCCCCCCATCAAAACAAAAACAAACAAAAAACAATTTTTCCCCTATTTGTTGTCTTAGTGGTTAGAGCATTCACTCAGGCTGTGGCAGATCCATGTTTGGACCCATCCACTCCTTGATATGCTAAGGTGATTTGTAAAGGACATCTCTTATAAAACTATCTTGATTGTTGAGCTGCCCAAAGCATTTTGAGGTGGGCTAGAGAATGAGTGAAAATGACTCTCTAGTCTGGTCATTAGGGATCTGACCTGGAAGACATGGGTCTCTGCTTCAGTGATTAGATAATTCATAGTAACTGGGAAAGCTTCAACATGGGAGATTGATCGTGACCCTTTTCCAAATGCTCTGTAGCCTAATGGTTGAGTATAAAATGTGGGAAGGGCCTAACTCCCTGGGGTGGTTGATTTGGCACCTCAACTTTGGTATTTCATGTTGGCAACCTTGAGTGGACCCCTGTTTAGCATTCTGGCTTTGTGGGTTTCATCTGGAGGTACCTATGATAATGTTTTCCATGCATTGAATAGGAAACCTGACCTGGACCTGTGGATTTTAGTAGGTGGCAGGATGCTTAAGTGCAAGGTGTGGTGAGGTTACGACCAGGTTCTTTTTGTAGATGTAGCCCGGCATCCCTACTCCTGCCAAAAGTGCGAGGAACTTTGATTACCAAAATTCATCAGGACCTCACATTTCCATAACAGAAAGACAGCTGTTCCAGTGGCAGTGCACCTCCTTTCCCTTTGCTAGTACAGTGCTCAGTCAACACTAGGGAAAGAGGCTGCTGAAGTCCGTGAGAAGGATATGTATCATGAATAGCTTAGTTGCTTGCTAGGGACATGTACAGCTGAGACATTCAGTCTGTAACCAGCAGTTAACCTTAGGTAAATTTAGAAGACCATTTTACTTCAGGTTAGTTGTCTCTTCTTCATTTTAGCTTGAGTAACAGATCAGGGAGAAGTGCAGTCTTCTGCTTACCAACACTCCACTGGTGACGGTTTCAGGTCAATGACACAATGCCTATTTGAAGTGGATTCCAGGTACCTTCTCTTCAGCAGACTGGTACTGGAAATGAATGCAGTGCACTGTCCAGTATCTGTATAAGAAACACTGTCCCTACTCCTCTGTTTGCAACTGATCACTAACCCTCAGTCATTGTGCCTCGCTAAAAAATGTAGGAGATGGAAAAGAAAGTTTAGGTTACCCAGTGCATCCTCACTACAGGATTACCAGTTCCAAGTTGGCTCCCTGAGACGTACTGTGGACTGGGTGCATTTTATCAGGTCTGTAGCATGTTGAAAAAGGGCATTAGGACCCTGAAGATCTCTCTCTCTCTTTTCTGCTCTGCAGGACTGAGCAGTGAGACAAGAGCTAAAACAAACAGCTGTGACTATAAGAGCCAGCCAAATAGAAAGAGAGAGGGAGAGAGAATCCTTTCACCACTCCACCATCAACTGCCTCCTCCCCTCACCCCCTTTTACACACAGTCTTGGTCCTTCTCTCATCTGATCCCTTAGAAACCTCTTCTTCCAGTTTAGTCAGGGCTCCCAGGCTCCACTGGGGCTCTCAGGATGAGGAAAATCAGGGCTAATGCTATTGCAATCCTGACTGTAGCTTGGATCCTGGGCACTTTCTATTACTTATGGCAGGACAACAAGCCTCATTCAGCAGCATCCAGCAAATCCCCTAGCAGCGGCAGCAGCAGCAAGAATGGGCAGAGATCAGCTGGGAGGCTGGAAATCCACAGGGAAGACAGGACCATCCCCCTCATCGTAAGTGAGACATGACCGCAGAGCATGTTACATGTTTATTCTTAGGCAGTGATTGTTGCAGTGAAATTGTATTGCATGTTTGTGCTGTTGCCTATGCTGTGCAAGGGGAGATGCTTGTAGGAGCATTAATCTAGTTTGCTGAGAGATTGGTGGGGGCTAAGTGAATGAATGGGGGAGAGGCATTGGGAGAAGGAGTTACATTTTCATGGGTTTCTTTGTATTTATCTTAGCATTCTTGCTTGTAACCATGGCAGCATTTACAATTGGGGAGCAGGATCAAAAGGCTCTGGGGGAGCAGACTAATGATGAATGTAAAGTATTTGCAAGTTGCGTCCACTGGCTTGCCCAGGGTCTGTTCCTTTGGCTAAGAGCTGGGTTTCCTTTTTGGCTAAGAAAGGCGGGGGATGAAATTGCTTTGCAGGGTTTTCAATTTGTGTTCAGGATGCATATTTTCAACAAGGCCAGTAAGATCTGCATTTTCAGAAAACAGGTGCCTTACATGCGGGGCTCCAGAAGCCTCGCCTGGGGAGGACTGGGCACATAGGCAAACCATGGCAGTTTTGGTGTTCTGTGTGGCGAGTTTGGTGGTCTCAACCTCATGGCACTTAGCTGCTGTGCTTCTTACTGTGAGATCTGAGCAGGCACTCCAACCCTGAAAGTTCACATGAAATGAAGCAAGAGGAAGTTCTCTGAAGGTCTTAGCTGGATTTGGGCCAAATTGGCAAAATGACAGGAAGTGGGGGGAGTCTTGCTCACCCTGGGACATCCAGATTAGCTCCCAGCTTCCCTCCTGTTTGAGGTACTGGATCAAACTTCTTTTAAAAGACCTGCACTCCACTTGGACTGAGGCTGCCTGTGAGTTTGGCACTGTGAAAAAAGAAGAGCTTCTATTCTCTCCCTGTATTAAAGGAGATGATAGGAACCTTTCATCTCTGCTAGGGGGAGAAGTGTTTTCTTCTTTCTGGTTACAGCCAGGAATAATAAAAACTCTTTTAACTGTAAGAAACAGTTAATAAAAAAAATACCCCTTCTTGAGCCCATTCCCAGAGGTGACCCAGCCAAGCTGCAATATGTGTCCCTGTTTGTGCTTGGCTCTGCAGCCGTTTATCATCTGGTTTCACAGACAGGGAAATGAACAGAAGCTGCAGGGGCTAGTTGTTAGAGTAGGGGTAGGCATTAGGATTCTCAGCTTTTGTCACTGATTGGCTCTGTGACTTGACCATACAGCTCAGTTTTTCCATGTGTGAAAAGAACTAACGTGCAGCCATACCATGGGGGTTGTGAGGGTTAATTCATCAGTGTCTACAAGACGGTATGAGATACTATGCTGAGTGGTGTTCTGGAAATATTTGTGGATACATGTGCCTTCCTACCAAGAAACCTATAGAACAGAGTTGTAGGGTCAGAAGAGGCCTCAGGGACCATTTAATCCAACCCTCTGCACAGCTGAAGGATGTGCTGTTACTAAACCACCCCATACAGATGCCTTAGCTTTATTAGTAACTCAGTGCCATTGGGGCATGCAGGCAGGGAAATATTCTCATGTTGGCCAAGATGGCAGGTAACCAGGAGATATATAAATGGATAATTGCTTCAGGGAAGCAAATGTTGAATTTGTAACACTAAAGAGCTGGTCCCATGATGAAGACAGAGGCAAAGAGTCAGAAATCCTGGATTCCGTTTCTGGTTCTGGCAGAGATCTTCATTTCTTGTGTGTTCTTGGAAAGTCACTGCCCATTTCTCTTTCTCCATCTGGATGATGGGGGATGAAAAACCTTGCAGACCAGTTGGGAGGATTTGTACATTCATGTTTGCAAAGTGCCTTGACAGATCATCAGAGGAAAAATGCTGTGAAGAAGTGCAAAGTGTTGTTACATTACTCAGAGTGCAGATGCACGCTTCACCCAGCAGTAATGCACAAGAGATGTCATTAGGAGCCATAGCGTTTTGAGAGATTACTGTAAAATCTAGCAGTAATGACAAAAAACCACAGAACATTATCACCAAAAAAGAATAGAGATGGTTCAGCCTCACTTGGGCTCATGCCACCAGTGCGTTCATACAGAGTGGTAATTACTCTGTGCTTCCCTGTAAGGCCATCTATCATTTGGATCACAGAATTTGCCAGATCTCACTTCTTTTTTACTTACAATTTCTCACCTCCTGTATTGGTCAATTCCTGATGGCTGTGACAAAGGTGACCCACCCCCATAGTGCACCTGACCTGATAGTCAGTTCTGTGCCTGGCAGGAATATATCTTCCTGACCCTTCTAGTGGTTAGTTTGTAGAAGGAAATAGGAAAGTTGGAAGCAACAAGACCTTTTGAGCAATAAGCTTCTCAAGTAAATGCATTCAGAGAGTAGTTTCCAAAATGTTCTGCCTGCTGCTGTGAGAGTTGGGCCAATAAAATGACTATTCCTGCATCTGTGACCTCATGCAGTGGCATTATTATCGATCTGGCACCAGAGTGAGAGAGTAAGGGGACTCTGCTGTGCTGGAATGTGAATAGGATTGGTAGGACAAATGTTTTGAAAGGAGGCAAAACAGAGGAATTACTGAGGCACAAGTCTAGGGTGGGAAGGGAATAATCAGTGGAGAGCAACAGCAGGGCATATTGAGGCAGAAGAGGAACCAGGAACAGGGCTTCCTTCTTGAGCCTCTCGGATCTCACTGAGTTGTGTGTTGACATCTAATCTAGAACTACGGCAATAAATTGCAAGTGCTGAATCCTCAGGGGTATCCAAGCATCTCCTCCTGCCAGTGGGTCCATAATGTGTCCTGAGCATGACGCACATCTGTGAGTGTGAGAAGGCAAGTTTGGATAATGAAGCAATTGGAGTTGTGCAGAGGGTTATAGATTCATAGATGCTAGCGTCAGAAGGAACCTCAACAGATCATCGAGTCAAACCCCCTTCCTAGGCAGGAAAGAGTGCTGGAGTCCTTGAGAAATTCTGGCAGGCTCTCCTAGGCCCCTTTAGCACAGGTTGGGATTTTTCAAGGCATATAAAATGTGTAATTTCAGCTGCCCTTTCAGTGAACAGAAGCTATTAACATGGAGGAACCTCATTAATTACCTGACATAATATATATATAGTGCTGACCTTATCAGTAGGTGTGGCTGTCAGCTACTAACTTTACCCTGAGGGTGTTTGGCTGTGTTGCTGTGGTTTGGCCTGCCATTGCACGGTTCAGGTAAACTGCAGTTTGGATCTACATATACCCCTAGTTTCTCTGGTTAGGATCCTGGACTTTGCTTTGTCCTTACTGGGCACATCTACATGAGATGTTTACTGCAGAGCTGTCTAACTAGCTGAACAGTAAAGTCTGGGCATCTACACATGCAGACCTATTAGGCCACAGGAAACTAATTAACTCCAGTGTAGGATAGTACTTGTAAACACAAGTACTATTCTATGGCGATGTTATTTAGTGCTCAGCAGTGCATGTGTAGATGCTGATTTGGCTGGCTGGGGCATGAGGATGCTTCAGAGCAGGGGCTGCCTGCCACCTAGCCCTTCACTGGAGCACCCTCATACCCCAGCCAGCGTGTCCCCAGCATGCTGAGCCAGGTCGGAGCAGCCACAACCTGATAGGCTGGCTGCCCATGGTCCCCTACTAGTGGGGGCTACTCGAACCTGGCTCAACGTGCTATGGTCTCCGGTGCAGCGTGAACATGACACCCAGGAGAAATAAACACTGGCACAAACTGCACTGTAATTTATTTAGTCAACTTAATTGCACGTGTAAATGTGCCCACTGAGGAGAAAAAAGTGACTGACAGGCTTAAGAGGCCTCAGAAATTAATTTTTTAGAGTTTTGAAGCCATCTTTTTAAAATTGTTTTTCTGTCTGAAACTCTTGTGTTGGGCTGAGTAAGACTGGAAGTTCAGCACTTGCACCTACAATACCTTTTGCACTTTCAAGTCCTAGATGCACTAAGGTGAGTTACATGTTTTAAAAAATTGAAATGCTTTTTGGGGGTCTTAAGTGAGGATTTTTTAATTCCCTGTTGAAAGGGAAAATAAAAATCACTCCCAGTAAAATATACACTTGACTACAAGACTGGAAAGTGAATTAGTAACAAGGCCACTGAATAACTGCCTAGTTTCTTACGACTGTGGTTGGCCTCCAGTTTCAAACTTGGAGTCTTCAAAAGAAATCTCTCTGTTAATCTTAATCATGATTTGAGAGTCTGAGGCTACAGTGATGGGCGGGAATTTCCTACATAATAATGGTAGGTACTCAGAACCTTTTTTTAGTACAGAAGCTTTGATATTTAATCTCTCTAGGACTGAGTCATCCTTGGTCGAACCTGAGTAAAAAATCACCAAATGCATCTCCCCAGGCCTCAAAATGAACTCAGTTTACTGACTGAGTCCACTTTGAAAAGCACCTGGAAAGCTGTTGTCCATATGAAATAAGGATATTCCTGAAATAATAAAAACCTAATGCTAGGTACCAAATGTCAAGTAAAACCTAATGTAATATAAGATGTAATCTATCTCATCCAATGCACCAAATGCCCAGATGGAAAATATGTAGGTGAGACCAAACAACAACTGCGCACCAGAATGAACGCTCACCGGATATCTATCAAAGACAGGAATACCCAGTTACCTGTGGAGGCACATTTCTCACAAGAAAACCACTCTCTCTCCAATCTCTCAGTCCTGATCCTCAAAGGAAGCTTACAAAACACTTCCCAGAGACGAGCCTGTGAACTGTACTTCATCAACCTACTGGATACTAAAAACCATGGACTAAATATAGACATTGGATTTATGACACATTATAACCTGCCTGACAGCTGACTTCCCAGGTACTTCTCCACTATTCATCCCCCTTCTCACTCCCCCCTCACCCAGCCTGTCTCTCACCCATTGACTCCTCAATCTACATTTTCACTGACTGCCTGTCTTGTATGCAGACCAGCCCAGCCTCTGGCTTCTTTACTTTTCATTCCATCCAGGAAGAGCACACACAAACTGCTGAAATGAACC